CAGACATCAGAATGTTTCTTTGAAAAACATTCGAGGACTGGTTGCCACTCAGCAAACTATAGACAGGTTGTAAAATGTTGGCCAAATCAGAACTGCGACACGAGATAGCCAGCGCTGTGTTGCCAGATTTGCTTTCCATTGAAAAACATTTTCTTGAACTGATTTTAATGTTTGCTCCATAACTGATGGTGAAACCTCCATAGACTAATATATAAAAACTTTATGTGCTGTTGATTTATTCTTCTGTTATTGTCGCATTTTTCAATAGTAATAACTTACAGCAAACTGGAGAAAATGATGTCTCCAAGCATGCCCATACTTATTGGAGCAAGTGCTCCGCTTTTATAATTTATTTATTATACAAAATTTCTTAGATTTAGGTGGGTGTTTCAACAGCAAAGTATTTATTCCCTTCTTTGCTTACGCATGTGTGCCGTTCGTTTTCAAACTATGAATTTATTAATATTTCCTTCCAGTTTTTTTTTGGCAGGGTAAGTAATGCTTTTACAGCCACTATCAGACAAATAAGCTCGGCAGCACTGCCCAGTCGGTCTTTCCTGCCTGAAATGTTAGATTCTCCAGAAGCGGAATACGCACTAAAATACCTTACTCATTCGCCACACATCCCACTACTGTAATGCTTGCAACATTTCTTCAGCTTGGGTAGCGGTGCGCTGTTTTCTTACCAAAGGAATCAGTCATCTGTTCTTCGTCGTACATATAAATTCGTATCTATACATGTACAACGCAGCAAGTAGAACTTACTGTTTGTTCCTTAGCCTATTTTTATCATCATGTACCTAACTGAACAGCATTCGCTTCACTGTTGGTTGAATTTCAATCGATTTGCCCTCGCTTACGTGACTGACAAGTTGTCAGCAGTGAGCCTCTCGCCGATCGACAATTCCAGCTGTCTATGGTAGTCAATCCATCAATTACACTCGAGTAGATGATCAGGAGTATCCTGCTCGCCATTGCAAGGAACTGTCAAAACAACCATGTCTTGTGAGTTTCAAGATCAGCCTTTCAGTCCATGCACCATGGCCATTTACATACCATTTCTCTTGCCACTTGACAAAAGGCTTAAAGCTTCGGCACCCATTTTATATAAATGAATAGATGGGTTGCCAGTTACCACCAGCAGTGCATCACTTGACAGTGTTCTGTAAGCGCAAACCACTCGCACCGTTACTTTTTGATAGTTTCTGAGCATTAGTTGTCTGTATGCTGTGAACAGCATAATTGAGTTTGTCACCCCTCCTAGTTTGGTCACTGTCTGCCGATTTTGAGTTTCCTCTTCATATAACCTTACTTTGACAGATTTGACTGATTTGAAATTACCAAGTGCAGTGTTCTTTAAAGTATTGTAATTACTGTTAGAAGCAGTTATAGAAACCCCATTGATGTGGAATGGGTAGATCAACTGGCTTAGACACTATAAACTCCTTGATTCTTGAACATAATGGTGTTATGTGCATCACAAGGCAATTCTATTGAAACCAATTGGCATTTCCCATATTATATGGACGGACTAGTCCTAAGGCTCTGTACAGTAATGACACAAAATTCATATTATCAAACAGCTTAAGCATACAGCTAAAAATACCATGTATATTTTGAATATTTTTCATCAAGATGGCTACTTGTCAGGTCAATCAGGGATGAGATGCTTTTTTCAAAAGTTGATAAAAACACCTACTTTTCAATTCATATCCAGAATCATAACTGATAATACAAGCACCCAGCTAGAGGCTAAAAGACCAGATTCCTAGAAAAGTTCACGTTCATTTCATTATTACTATAAGAATGTTAGCATATTTGCGTTAGCCCTAGTTTGACGCTGTGGAAGAGAATCAGTGAAATGTTTGTCAAGGTTCTCCTGTAGCTTTGCAGATTGTGTCAGTAAAAAAAATTCATAACTTGTTAACACTTTTATTTTTTGTGGGTGGTATGTATTGCGTTAAGGCGAGTCTGACCCTTGTGGCAATCGACTTAGGATGACTCTGTATTAGGGTTTTTGAAAGATGTCAGACGGATGTCACTCGCCAGATCGAGGAACTCGTAAGGTAATTTGTCGGTTTTTTGCCCCTACATTTATATTTTCTGCTGGAAAAAATATAATGCAACAGTGACCTCGCTGTTTTATTTCAGTGGTAACAAAACAACCATTTCATTGGGCGCCCAACAACAGAAATATTGCAACTGCTTTTTAAGCCGTGGTTAGACTATATCCATGGCGTAAAAAATCATTTAAATAATTTCTTACACGAATCTGTTTCGGAGGGTATTCATTTTTGAAGAAAACAGTATGATTGACTGTGGCAACAGTGTATGTAAAGTACAGAGCACAGTGTAAATAGCTAGCGAGCGAGCGTGCCTGGCGACCCATCCAAGCGGAAGAACAACAGGCCTTCATTTAATTTTAGCGTTATTATTCCCCATTTATTATCACGACGGTGACTGGTATGCTGAAACTAAGTTGGTTATTAGCCGATCGCAGCTATATCCTATATCCTCTTTTCAGCCTTTTATCACTCTACAGCAGTGTATGAAATCGTCAAACAATATCTTTCACCAGTTTTACTTTCGTATATTTTACTTTTTTTCAGTCAGTTTCAAATTTCCCATAAGCCAAAAATCTTGTCCGATACTGGATGTTCCGTCGCGAAATATGCACAGGAAAATGGTGATAGAATCAGGGACCCTGGCGACTCGCTTTTTCTTACTTTTCCGGTCCATCTCACTTTTCATTGAACACATTAACTTTTCTTACTATTTTCGCTCTCGCTGTACCTACATATTGTAGTTTAGAAATTGAATAAAGTGCATTTTTTGTGAAAATTAACTATGACAAAGTTGTTCGTGTACAGGGTTCTTTCCAAGCTGAGTCAACATGTATTAATTACATGAGAAATTACTAGGATTAGTTGTAATCTACGGACTGGCAAGATGCTTGAGAAGCATTCCAGATTTTGCCATAAAAACTATGGAGGTTTTCTAGTATGAGAAACAAGCATCCGTTACTTGTTATGTCCAAACTTCTATTTGTGCTACCCTGTATACAACAACTGGCCGAAAAATCTTATTTTCTCGTATTTCCACAACAAAAAGATTTACTTGTTAGAAGTGTCTAAAGCTAATAGCTTCCGAGGTATTTGTTTTTAAAAGTCCAATGCATTTTTATACCATGATGATAAAACATTTTTATAACATAATAATGAAGTTGCCTTGGATAATATCTGAGTAGCGTTGCTATGGTTTCTAATGTTTGTCATATTATTGCTTTAAACTTCATGAATCATTTTAAGTTGACCATAAGTTGTTAAATATCGTTTGATGAATATTCTGAAATGCATTTAATGTACGGATTGGCAAGATGTAATGCTTTGAAAGCTAATTCAAAGACTTTCCAACGGATCGTTCAGCGGTTACGAGAAACTCATAAGAAATGATTATAGCCTTATTTTGAGTAGTAAAAACCATTTGGATTCTAGGTAGTTTTGCCCAAAATGTGGGCCGACATGTTGGAGCTCCCAGAACTGTAAGTACAGCTGAAGTTGAAGAAAATGTTCTAGATGCTGTCTTTGAAAATCCTACAGTTGGGGTTCGTAATATAGCTCGAGAATTTCAAGTTTCCAAATATACAGCAAATACCATTTTTCAAGAGCAACTGCTCCATCCATACCACCTGCAAAAAGTACATGATTTAAGCGTCGATGATGACCCCGCAAGCGTAGAATTTTGTATATGGCTCTTAAGGAAGTTAAACTACGACAGTGGTTTTACTTCGTTAATATTATTTTCGGACCAAGCAGGATTTGGAAGGGATGAGCCCATTAACTCGCACAATCTTCACATTTATGCAGACGAATGACCTCATGCAATAATACAAACCCGCCACTAAGTATAATTTCAAATTAATTTATGGGCAGGAATAACTGGACAATATTTAATACTACCCATTGAGTTACCACCTATACTAAACGGACAAAGGTTTTTACAATTTCTTGAAGAAAATTTATCCAGTCTGCTAGAAGATCTACCATTACAAACACGCATGAATATATGGTTTATGCACGACGACGCTCCACCTCATTTTAGTATATTAGTTAGAGAGCACCTAAATAGCGTTTATCCAGACCAGTGGATAGGCCGATCAGGACCTGTATCGTGGCCGGCTAGATCATCAGAATTAAATCCTATGGATTTCTTCTTCTGGGGTGATTTAAAACGACGCGTTTACAATACGCCAGTGGAAACTGTAGATGATCTACGACAAAGAATTTTCCACCATAGCCAGGAAATGAAAAATAACATCCAAATGCTTTGGAGAGTGCAGCAAGGATTAGTTAGTCGAGTTTGTGGTGCTCATTTTGAACAATTTTTGTAGTTATTTCTTTTTATTAGTTTTGTTGTCATCCTCATTTGTTATTGTTGTTCGTAACGCTACTCAGATATTATCTAAAGCAACTTGATTATTATGTCATAAAAAAAGCAATTAGGAGGAAAAAATATAATTACTTACTAAGTCGGCGAGATTGTTGTTGAAATTGTTCTTAAACGACAGTGCAAGGGAACACATAGTCGACGAACAAAAAACTTGGCTGATGATGTTCGATTAGGACGGAATTATTTTAATTTTATTGAAAAATGGCAAACCATAGATATGTTTTTCTAATTATTTAACCAGTGATTGATTTGGAAGAACTTGAAAATCTATCAACTACTGAAAAATCCTAAGAGATTTCATTTTTCCTGATAACCTCCACATTATCGAACACGTGCCGGCCGACTGACACTCTACAGTGGCTGAGTGGCATATGAAGTGTGAAGTGTGACATTGAAGTTATTGAACCGTTATCGAACCGTTTGTGTACTTGTGATGTGTGTTGCCTACTATGTAGGGAGTTCCTTCATTAATAATGGTTACCCAAGATACCGAAAAACATGCTTCATCCGTGAATAGTACTCGTATTCGATTTAAAAAAAATTGATTTAATGTTACTTTTTCACGTAACAAGTTGCAAAAATCAACCCTTTCAGGCAGATCTCGAGGTAATAGGCGCTTGTGCACGCTGTATATGATATCGATAAAGTTGCTGATCTTTCAAAATTTGCCATACCGTTACATGATTTAAATTTAGCTGATTTTTCGTGTACTGTAGGATCCTCTTCGATTTTATTAAGCACAGCTTCTTCGATTTGGATGGTTCTTACACCTGCGGGTCTTACTGCAACATGTGTGGATCTCTTGAAACTGCCTGTTTCACATAGTCGAGCGTGAATGTTGATGAAAGTTTGTACCTTAGGCAGCGGGCGTTGTGGAAATCGATCACCATACAAATGTCGTGCTCGTCGAGCGTTACCCAGAGCCATTCCGTAAACGAAATGCATATCTCTCATTTCTTGATTACTGTACTGGACCATTATTTTATGACAATTAGTAATCACCAAAACTTGGAAATATTTGGAGTCTTAGAATGACCATACAAGAAAACAAATATTTGACAGCTGTCGAGTTATTTGAGAAAATAAATTAATTCAATTGTTTTCGGGTACGTCATAGGTGTCTAGATAAGCACAATGCTTAAATATTAAAAGTATTGCGATCAAAACAAATCAATGTCATGCTATTTTTACAAAAAATACTGGATAACATTATCCGTATCTACGTAGATGGAGGGTCTGAAAACAACTGTAAATCATGTGATATTGACCACAGGGCATACTTAATTAAAATAAAATACGTTCCATTCTTTTATAATTTTTTAGAACAATTTCATCATTACTTTTAGTGTTAATATGCTCTAGCTTGAAAACAAAGCCGTTGCGGACCCATGTTTATATGGAAATTTCGTCTTCAAATTGACCAAGGATTCGATGGTTAAAGTTTGTCTATATACTTTATTAACACCCGGTATATACGCGAGCAGTAGTCATTGCCATTGCCAACGATTAGTTGGGCAAAAAATACAATTAAATTGTTTATTAGGAATTGGCAAAACTTAAAGCGTAGTGAACTATTTTGACTGAAATATCGAGCTTTCGATAACAAATGTTGTCATCTTCTTGTCTTGCCGTCGATAAGGTATCTGCTAAATGCGAAAACGTGGATGAACCACGTGTTACAATTATTAAAACACGTTACAAACATTTGTTTATAAACCCGAACGGATTAAAAAATGGAAAGAGTAATCAAGTTATTGAAAACTAAAACTACATTTTGGGGACAGACACTTCATTTATCACGATATACCTGTTGCACGTGGTGAAGGTGAATTCATAGGGGAGAGAGTCGATTGAAGACGAACCACGAAGCGGAAGGCCTTCATCTTCAAAAACCGATGAAAATATCGACAGAATCCGGGATCTTGTGCGTTCAGATCATCGGTTGAGAGTGAGAATGATCGGGGAAAAGTTAAATTTCTCACATCACCGTTCATTAGATCAAGAACAACTGGGTGTTGCATCACCATAATGCTCCTTCTCACACAGCAATGTCAATAAACGCGTATTTGGCTAGTAAAAACATTCATGTGGCTCCTCAGATGGCTGTAACCGACCCGCTGAAGGCTATTCCAGAATAGGAGTTCCAGCACTGGTATGAGGATTGAGCGTGACATTATCAAATTTTAATTATATTTGAATAAAAAAATCAGTCGCTTCACTTGATTTACAGACCTCCTTTGAACACTTTTTCATTTGTCAACATAGTCACTATAAACATTTAAACGTTTGTCAATTCGTGGCTGCAGCTTTTGGATTCCGTCGTGAAAGAATGCTGCCGCCTGGCTGTTAAACCAGTTAGTAACTGTTTCTTTCAATATGTCAACATTTTCCAAGCGTTTTACACCAATAAATTCTTTAAGTTTTGAACAAATGATGAACTGATGAAAGTCTGATGGTGGATGATGCATTTATTCCAATTGCATTTATTGTAGGATGAACTTTTTGTGTTTTAACCGAATTACTGAGAGTTAATTTATTGAGTGACATGTGACAAATCAAACACTATAATCACCCATCTAACAACGACAAGCGTCTGAGGCTGAACGGCGTCACGTAACAGGATGCGCGGATACGATGAGCAATCGGTTCTTAGTTTGAAAATGACCCTCGTATAAAATCATAAACTCTGTAATACCGGAAGTTCTATACGGAATTCCTCACTTCCCCAAAAAATAATAGAATTCAACCTATTGTTGCCTCTCAGTTTCGCTGAAACCTGTTCACCAGTTACTTATGACTAATATAGAAACTTCGATAATGTTAAATTATTTTACCACTTTGCAAGGTGCATTTCCTTGCACTAATACAGAAAATCTGTTACTGTCACATATACGGTTCCGAACTTAACGAAATAACAGAATATTTCCCGTTTTCTCTGTAAATTGTGCTTCACCTACTGAAAGGAAACATAATTCTTCATCTAACGATACTAAGAAAACAGGGTGGTGCTACCTTGAAATAGAAAGATTTTCGTATTTGAATATGTGAAACTTTGACATCGGTTAGTTGTCCTTTGATGGAAATTATATCAATTCATAAACAAGAAAAATGATACTCATGTGTTGAACAAACTTGAATGAAGCATAGAATCTGGATCATTCACACTTTCCTTTGGGGTGCCAGAAAGCACAATAAGGAATCACGTCAAAGAATGGGTAAGAAATCAGCACAAGGAACATTGACACTTAGTGACTAGATGTAGTCATGGAAAAGAATTCATATCGGGACTATGTCCAAACAAGACTGCGGAACTGCTCTGAAGGAGTAGAAACCATCTCCGCGCAGTCACAGGGGCTTCTAACAGGACACTATGGCCTGAAAGAAGACGTGAGCAAAATAGGGCTGTACGATGGAGACCTTAGCTGTATAAAATGCGGAAAAGGAACAGAATCAGTCGTGTAAGGCGCTGGATGACAGAAGACATCAACTCTTCGGGAAACCAAAACCCGACCGAGTTAGAACAGTACGATAGGAAAACTGTACCAACTGGTTCAGAACCTAGACTGCTCTCTTGAGTACTGTACAATCGAGGAGCAAGGCACAATAATGTCTAGAGGCTGCAGTACCATTGGCGACTTTGGTCTAGTGGCTCCCGGAGAAGGAGGGGGGGGGGGAGGTGAATAGAATCTGTAAATGGAATAATTCTCTTCAAAGACGATGTGTGTTGCTCCCAGCCTAAATGAAACGTCCTGTATGGGCGAAAATAAATTTGGGATCATGGATTTGAGGGAAAATTTAAAGGAAAACTGTTTCCTAACCGTAACGGTTTAGCCCGTACTTATCGGTCCCACCTCCTAACTGAAAGATAAGATTGCAATCATAATTTTTTGTTAATCTTTAACAAGATGAGATAGATATTTTGTACAGCAACATTTTGGAGCCTGTTTCCATTTCGATGAGCGTGTGACAAATGTTGCACAACAAGCGCATTAACTTTACATTAAGTTTTACATCTGCAATATTTTGACCGTACAAAAGTACCCTCGCGTCTTGCGTTTCTGGTGCTTGTTCTGCAATATACCGTTTCATTCCAAACTTAATGACACATGACGCAACATACCGCGGAGCAGCAAAATTGCAAAAATTTAATAAGGAATGTTTCAAGGTATCAAACTTTGATTGAGAATATTTTTACTTTTTTAGTGAGCTAAAAAATTCTTTCATATACAGGGTGTTTCAAATTTGACTCTCACCATTGGGATCTCGGAAACTGTAAGAGATACAAAGTCGCTTAAATAGGGGCAAAGTTGCATATTTACGTTAGGTAATCAACAATATGCCGCTTAGAAAGTTTCGAAGTTCAAAATACTTCCGGAGAGAGACGGAAAAAATCGAATTTTCCCAAAATCGTGTTAATTTTGTCCTGACTTTGTTTGAAGCAGAATTTCAAAATAAATTGCACACTAGCATTGCCACTTTTTCTCCTATATAAGAAGGCATAATTAGAATTTCAATATGACGTTTCGTCCCTTGTCCTCCAGCATCAATTTTATTTTTTTCTCAACGCCGTATTGGTTTTTTGCACAGATAAATAGAGTTTTTAGTTCTATTTCCAAAAATTGTTATTCTAAAAAAGCTGAATTTTCTAGGTAGGCCTTGAAATTATCATTTTATGTTTTCCTGACTTCAATGACATGCGATTTCAAACTGAACTGCATGTTGTCATTGTTACTTATTGCCTTCTGCAAGGTGGCGTAGTCAAATTTCTAATTCGACATTTCTTCTTTCTGCTTCCATCACCAACTTTGTTTTTTCGTATGGACGCTATATTTGAATTTTGTACATTTAAATGCACTTTTCACTCCTTAGTTCAGTGAGGTATTTGCTTAATTGGCCATGGGTTTGTTATTCGATGAAAATCATAAGGAAATAAAGAGGTATGATGAAACCTGAACACAAAATGAATATGTTATTGATGGTAATAACAATGATAATCATAAATAAGCAGAGGTAAATCATAGCAGATGTCCAAAATATTGTCCGTTATTTTGTAGGCAAAGCCTGGCCGTTCTCTGTTCCATTCGATTCTCTTCTTCTGTCTTCCAAACTCTGTTGCTATGGTCAATTTGGGTCTGGTACGAAACAAATGAAAGATGTTTTTCTGGAATAGCTAAGGTTTGGCAATGTTAATTTAAAGCATATTATAGATTTTTGAAATCAGAATTGAAAACTCTATTCGTAAGTAAATAAACCCAATATGATATCCATAAGAAAAAATAAAGTTAATGTTCGAGGACAAGGGACGAAAGGTAGAGAGAAAAAGTGGCATTGTTAATGTGCAATTTATTTTGAAATTCCACTAGAAATAAAGTCAGGAAAAAATTAAAACGATTTGGTGAAAATTCGGTACTTTGAATTTTGAAACTTTCTAAGCGGCATTTTGTTGATTGGAATACGCAACTTCGCCTCCATTTAAGCGATTTCGTATCTCGTACAGTTTCCAAGATCCCAATGGTGTGGGTTGAATTTGGAACACCCTGTATATAAATTTATTCCTAACTTGACATTACCACTTCATTTAAGTTTCATGAGACGTATCCTTGGTAGTAAGGACCAGCACAAATTGTTCTAGTAAATTACATGGCGGCATAGCTCTTCGAAAGTTCGTCTTTCCTAAGGGACACGCCCAAAGTATTTTTTGCAGCCTGGCAACGTAATCGTGTAAAACTAACTCGGAGAAAAGTTCTCTGAAGCTCTTAAATAAATAGCCGAATTCGTAAGATCGGGGGATTTTCTCCAGTTCGTCGAACAGAGCCTCCAATTTAATTTCAATCAAACTCATTTAAAAAGTTTACCCAGAACAGAAATTATATCCCTGTTAAAATAGAAGAGAATGAAAACGGCCTGACTCTCTGGTATTGAAGCTTTTGACTGTACGTTTGTTGCTTGGTGCATTTTGTGCTATGAAGATTACTTATCTCGTCATTTTCACACATATTTTACATATATCA